GCCTGTCGCCAGGGTGAGTGACACGTGCGGTCGCATGCCCGTTGCCAGGGTGAGTGACACATGTGGGAGCTCTCACCCCAGGGCCGCCTCTCTGCTGGGCCTTCTGGCGCTCTGGGATGTGTGCCCAGCAGGGCTGCTGGGACTTCACCAGAGAAGTCTGGTGCTTAAAAAAGAAGTTTGGAGCTTCGTGTGTCTGGGGTGTGTTGTAAACTTCCTAAAGATGGGCACCTGGTGTGGCCTCGCTCCTGAGTGTGCGCCCTGACCCCCAAGGCCCTGGCCGCACCCTGGCCAATCTGCTTCCACTCCCGGGAGGCCCTCAGCCTGGCAGCCATCCCATCCTGCGAGTCAAGGAGCCCCCGGTTTGCCCCGACCGCACACCGGCTCCAGCCTCAAGGTGGCCTTTGCTCAGCACCTCTTCCCAGCCATCCCCTCCAAGGCCACCCCACCCGCCCAGCAAATCTCTCTGAAGCTTAGTGTGGCTCCTTCCCCAGCGATGACTCCTCCGTCTCCACGGTCGCCTCATCTCCCTCTCTGCCCTTCCTCCTGCTCCCTGGCTTGGTCACACACACCCCCAGTCATAAGTCCCCCCTTCTTTCCTTCCCTCCTTCCTTCCTTCCTTCCCTGTTCACTGCTCCCGACTCTGTGTGTCCCAGGATGCTGCCCCTTCGCCCTTCACCCCTGCCCCCATGTGCCCCTGTCCCCCTGGACTCCCACAGTCCCCACTGTCACCCCACGCCCATCCACCTGCTGGGCCCCTTCCTCTCTCTCTGGTGTCCGAAGCGGGCAGTGGGGCGGTGAGTGTGAGGACTTGGACACCCAGGGTCTCTCTCTGAAGTTCCAAGTGAGCCATCCATCATCCCCCTCGCCTGCCCAGGGGCCGCACAGAGCAGGTGTGATGGCCACCGGCCAGCTACGAGGCTCTCAGTCAGACGGAGCAAAGCAGGGTTCACGTCACCAGCCTGAGCAAGAAGAATCTGGAATCAAGCAGAAGATGCTTTTCTGAGAGCGGGTAACTCTCTGTGGTCCAAACCCGCGAGGTGGCGTCCTATGGACCCAGCGCTGCACCTGCAGGAGCCCCGCGTCAGCTTCCCGGGTTACGCATGCCAGGGCCCTCCCCAGCGCGGTCTCTGGGACAGACTCCAAGCCAGGTGGCCTGAAATATCCAGCCCCCACTCCTCGGTCAGCTGCTCCACGAGGGAGCCGGTGTAAAAGAAAGCCATGAAGGCCACCTGTAAAAGGCAGGCTTCATCAGGACCCGGGATGGGGTGGGGACCGCTGCTGGGGGGTGCGGTTGCAGGAGGGTTGGGAGGCTGGGCTCAACTCTGGATAGAACAAGGGAAGCAGGGATTTCACAGCCACAGGGCGGTGGGGCGGGGGCAGACAGGGTGGAAAACTACCAAGAAGTGGGGAAATCCTCACTAGACGGACCTCACAGGACTCCTCCCGGAGGCAGGCGGCGGGGCGGGGTGTCGGCCCGGGGCGGGCGGGGGGGGGGGGCGGGCGGCGGCGCGGTCGGGCGGTCGGAGACGTGCGAGCGCGACGACGGGAGAGGCG